GCTGCTGTTAGTGAATTTAAGGCCAGCAAAGGCTGGTTTGAGAGATTTAAGAAGCATAGTGGCATACACAATGTGGTAAGGCATGGCGAGGCTGCAAGTTCAGAGAAATGTGCGGCTGAAGAATTTGTGCATGAATTCAAGGATTACAAAGAGGCTGAAGGATTCCTCCCCCAGCAAGTGTTCAATTGTGACAAAACAGGCCTCTTTTGGAAGAAAATGCCAAACAGGACCTACATCACGCAGGAGGAAAAGGCACTGCCAGGACACAAGCCTATGAAGGATAGGCTTACTCTTTTGTTTTGTGGTAATGCTAGTGGGGATTTCAAAGTGAAGCCTTCACTGGTGTATCACACTAAAAATTCCAGAGTGTTCAAGAAAAACAATGTCGTCAAGAGTAAATTGTGTGTGTTGTGGAAAGCTAATAAAAAGGCATGGATCACAAGGCAAATTTTCATTGATTGGGTCCATGAAGTGTTTGGCCAGTGTGAAAAAATACCTCCAGGAAAATAAATTGCCACTCAAGTGCCTCCTGGTACTGGACAATGCTCCTACTCATCCTCCAAACTTGGTAGACCAATTGTCTGTGGAGTTAAGTTTTATAACAGTGAAGTTCTTGCCTCCTAACACAACTCCTCTCATCCAGCCCATGGACTAGCAGGTCATTTCTAACTTCAAAAAGCTCTACACAAAAGCAATGTTTCAAAGGTGCTTTGAAGTGACCTCGGACACTGACCTGACCCTAAGAGTGTTCTGGAGGAATCATTTCAATATCCTCCATTGTATAAGCCTTATAGGTAATTCTTAGCAGGGAGTGACTTCCAGGACTTTGAACCCTGCTTGCAGAAAACAGTGGTTAGAATGTGTCCTCGACAAGGATTTTGAAGGGTTTGAGGCTGACCCTGACAACCCTATGCCTGTTGTGGAATCTATTGTGTCTTTGGGGAAGTCCATGGGGTTAGATGTAAGTGGCCAGGATGTGAAAGAGTTGGAGGAGGACCACAGGGAAGAGCTAACCACTGAAGAGCTGCAAGACCTTCATCTGCAACAGCAACAGACCACAGCCGAGGAAATTGCTTCAGAGGAGGAGGAAGAGAGAGAGGAGAATGTGCCTTCTTTAATGATTAAGGACATTCGTGCAAAGTGGAGGGAGGTGCAAAGTTTTGTGGAGAAATATCACCCTGACCAAGCTCAAACAAGCCATATCAACATGTTCAGTGTCAAAACCTTGTCCCATTTTAGGCAAATCTTAAAGAGACGCCAGAAACAAACCTCTCTGGACAGTTTTTTGTGCGACAGGGGTGCAATGACTCTCACGCTAGTCCTAGTGGCAGTAAAAGACAAAGAAGGGAAGTAACCCTCCTTACAGAGGGGGATTCCTCTTCCAAACAATAAACTCTCCTCCCTCTCCCCTCCTCTCCTTCTTCCATATGCCAACAAAAGTCTTCAATAAATGTATGTAATGTTCATTTAATATTAAAATTACTGCTTTATATTTCTTTCTCATTGTTTTGTGCATGTAAAACTATAGTTAATCTTCAAAAATGTATTTTTTGTTAATATTTTTGGGTGTCTGAAACGGATTAATTATATTTACATTAATTCTTTTGGGAAATATGATTTCAGTTTTAGGCCTTTTCGGATTAAGGCCGACTTTCTGGAAAGGATTACGGCTGATAACCGAGGGTCCATGGAATTTCATAGCTACTCATCATTTCTTCCACTGAAATATTTAACTTTCTCTTTGTTTACCTGGAGTTTACCTGAAGAGAGTTCCGGGGGTCAACGCCCCCGCGGCCCGGTCTGTGACCAGGCCTCCTGGTGGATCAGAGCCTGATCAACCAGGCTGTTGCTGCTGGCTGCACGCAAACCAACGTACGAGCCACAGCCCGGCTGGTCAGGAACCGACTTTAGGTGCTTGTCCAGTGCCAACTTGAAGACTGCCAGGGGTCTGTTGGTAATCCCCCTTATGTATGCTGGGAGGCAGTTGAACAGTCTCGGGCCCCTGACACTTATTGTATGGTTTCTTAATGTGCTAGTAAACTTTTGGAAATTTTTATCTCAAGTTCAAAGAAAATTATTTTTTTTTAAATTCTTTGCAGCGCTGTATGACCCTTGTGGGTTTAGCACTTACTTTTGAATATAATAATAATAATTTTAAATGCATGGAAGCAAAGAGGGGAATGTACAAGAGTACAGTGGTAACTTAACTTATGAGTGCCCCAACTTACGAGTTTTCCGAGTTATGAGCAGTCGCTTGGTCAATTTTTTGCTTTGAGTTGTAAGCCAAAATCCGAGTTATGAGCGAGCTTCAGATATGCTGCCACTAATTGACGCACAGAATGCCACAACGTCTGCCCAGCATCCCAGCGTTTTCTGCTTTTTGTCTAGTTCTTTTGCCAAATTTCTTTTTTCTAACTAAAGGTTCTAAGAAAGTAAGTGCAAAGGAAAGTGCTGAGAAAAGGAGGGTAATGTCCATTGAATTAAAGCATGAAATCATAGAAAAACATGAGAAAATCGCTTTTGTTTCAGTGTTTTCCTTATGAAACTAGCAATCTAGTGCAGTTAGCCTCATAAATATTCCATTTTCTCTTAAAAGGGCAAGAATGGGAAGATATGGTCAGTGTGATAATTATTTTTACCTCGGGATTGGCCGCCACCACTTGTCACATAATGACATATTTTATTCATCAATTGTGATAGATAAATAAGCTGTAGAGTTGATATTAGCGTTATATTCAAGTACTTTCTCCTGCCTCCCGAGAGCCAGGAATTCCTCTGGAACAGATTAATGGCATTTGAATTAATTTCATTGAGGAAAATTGATTTGATATACTACAAGCAAACTGAGTTACAAGCTCTGTCATGGAATGAATTAAACTCTTAAGTCAAGGTACCACTGTATAGTTATACCAATGCTCTTATATGGGTGTGAAGCATAGGTGGTGAATGTTGCAACAAGGAGAAGGCTGGAGGCAGTGGAGATGTCATGTCTGAGGGCAATGTGTGGTGTGAATATAATGCAGAGAATTCGTAGTTTGGAAATTAGGAGGAGGTGCGGGATTACCAAAACTATTATCCAGAGAGCTTAGGAGGGGTTGTTGAGGTGGTTCGGACATGTAGAGAGGGTGGAACACAATGGAATGACTTTGAGAGTGTATAAATCTGTAGTAAAGGGAAGGCAGGGTAGGTGTCGGCCTAGGAAAGATTGGAGGGAGGGAGTAAAGGAGGTTTTGTGTGCGAGGGGCTTGAACTTCCAGCAAGCATATGTGAGTGTGATAAGATAGGAGCGAATGGAAACAAATGGTTTTTAGGACTTGACGTGCTGTTGGAGTGTGAGCAGGGCAGTATTTATGAAGGGATTCAGGGAAACCGGCAGGCCGGACCCAAGTCCTGGAGATGGGAAGTACAGTGCCTACACTCTGAAGGAGGGGTGTTAATGTTGCAGTTTCATAGCTATAGTGTAAGTGCACCTCTGGCAAGACAGTGATGGAGTGAATGATGGTGAAACCATACCCCCGGCCGGGATTGAACCCGCGGTCATAGAGTCTCAAAACTCCAGCCCGTCGCGCTAGCCACTAGACCAGCTAGCCACATAAGATTCATCCAACTAGGTATATTTCTACACCATAGGAAAGTTAGCACAGGCACCTCTGTGACCACAAATGCAAGTTTTTACAGACGAATCTCCAGCTAGCGTGGCCGTGACGAACTCTAGCTCAAGTCCCTTCACTGCCGTCAACATGACTTAAGAAATCGTAATGACACGATTGCAAATAAACCATACCCCCGGCCTGGTCTAGTGGCTAGCTCGACGGGCTGGAGTTTTGAGACTCTATGACCGCGGGTTCAATCCCGGCCGGGGGTATGGTTTATTTGCAATCGTGTCATTACGATTTCTTAAGTCATGTTGACGGCAGTGAAGGGACTTGAGCTAGAGTTCGTCACGGCCACGCTAGCTGGAGATTCGTCTGTAAAAACTTGCATTTGTGGTCACAGAGGTGCCTGTGCTAACTTTCCTATGGTGTAGAAATATACCTAGTTGGATGAATCTTATGTGGCTAGCTGGTCTAGTGGCTAGCGCGACGGGCTGGAGTTTTGAGACTCTATGACCGCGGGTTCAATCCCGGCCGGGGGTATGGTTTATTTGCAATCGTGTCATTACGATTTCTTAAGTCATGTTGACGGCAGTGAAGGGACTTGAGCTAGAGTTCGTCACGGCCACGCTAGCTGGAGATTCGTCTGTAAAAACTTGCATTTGTGGTCACAGAGGTGCCTGTGCTAACTTTCCTATGGTGTAGAAATATACCTAGTTGGATGAATCTTATGTGGCTAGCTGGTCTAGTGGCTAGCGCGACGGGCTGGAGTTTTGAGACTCTATGACCGCGGGTTCAATCCCGGCCGGGGGTATGGTTTATTTGCAATCGTGTCATTACGATTTCTTAAGTCAATGATGGTGAAAGTTTTTCTTTTTCGGGCCACCCTATCTTGGTGAGAAATGGCTGATGTGTTAAGTAAAAAAAAAAAATGTTTTACATTTAAGTTAGCCATTTTTTTTTTTTCTACAAGTCGGCCATCTCCCACCGAGGCAGGGTGACCCAAAAAAGAAAGAAAATCCCCCAAAAGAAAATACTTTCATCATCATTCAACACTTTCACCACACTCGCACATTATCACTGTTTTTGCAGAGGTGCTCAGAATACAACAGTTTAGAAGCATACACATATAAAGATACACAAAATATCCCTCCAAACTGCCAATATCCCAAACCCCTCCTTTAAAGTGCAGGCATTGTACTTCCCATTTCCAGGACTCAAGTCCGACTATATATAAGTTAGCCATATTAATTATATATCTCAATTGCTTGGGCAAGGATCAGGAAATTATAAGTTCATTCCTTATTACAAAAACTAAAATTCCTAGATGAAATATTATAAAGAGATATATAGCAATCCTAAAAACATATTTACCAACTTTCAGTGCCACATGCCTTCCTTACTCACCTGATGAGCCAGTTGAAAAATATTCATTTTTTTGGCTAGATAGGCTTCATTTGTGACCAGAAATTTAGCAAGAGCAATTAGAGCTGCCCAAAGATCTTTCCAGTTGTAAGGTAGTCTCACTGAATTGCGCTTCTGGTAGCACAACAAGCGGTGAATGATGTTGACATTTTGGTGAAAGAGTTCGATGGGAAGCTTCTTCATCATGTGAGACATCATGAACTCCACCATGACATCTATGGTTAAAAAATAACGGGATAGAAAAAAATATTTAATTTCCCCCAAAAAATATTTTCTCTCCAAAAGATGCATATAAATGAGATGGAATGTGCTGCAAGTACTAAGTAGAAAACTATATTTCTTTGTTTTGTTATTCAAAACCTCGAAATATTCAAAGGCTGCCTGTCAAATACTTTAAGTTAGGATTAGCATTGCTTTTCATATATATGTATATACAATGTCTTTTTTAGGTAGCAGGTTGGCAGACAGCAGCCGCCCAAGGAGGTACTACCGTCCTGCCAGGTGAGTGTAAAATAGAAGCCTGTACTTGTTTTATATGATGGTAGGATTGCTGGTGTCTTTTTTCTGTCTCATAAACATGCAAGATTTCAGGTACGCCTTGCTACTTCTACTTACACTTACGTCACACTACACATACATGTACAAGCATATACAGTGGACCCCCGCCTTACGATATTAATCCGTTCCTGAGAGCTCATCGTGAGCCGAAATTATTGTAAGGCGAATTAATTTTCCCCATAGAAAATAATGGAAATCAAATTAATCCGTGCAAGACACCCCAAAGTATGAAAAAAAAATTTTTTTTTACCACATGAAATATTAATTTTAAAACACACAAACTGAAGAAGACATGCACAATTACTACTCTACTAAGAATAGAATACATGACACTTACCTTTATTGAAGATCTGGTGATGACTGATGGGATGGGAGGAGGGGAGTGTGTGGAAGTTATTGTTTAGAAGGGGAATCCCCTTACATTAGGACTTGAGGTAGCAAGTCCTTTTCCGGGGTTACTTCCCATCTTCTTTTAATGCCACTAGGACCAGCTTGAGAGCCACTGGACCTCTGCCGCACAACAAATCTGTCCACAGAGGTATGTACCTCCCGTTCCTTTAAGATCTGGCTAAAATGGGCCACAACATTGTCATTGTAATAGTCACCAGCACGGCTTGCAATAGCTGTGTTAGGGTGATTTTCATCCATAAAGGTTTGTACTTCAACCCACTTTGCACACATTTCCTTAATCTTTGAAGTAGGCACAATGGATTCCACAACTGGCATAGGCTTCTCAGGGTTAGCCCCAAACCCTTCAAAATCTTTCTTAATTTCCATACTAATTCTCACCCTTTTTACCACAGGGTTGGCACTAGAAGCTTTCTTGGGACCCATGGTGACTTATTTTGCAGTTACAAGCACAAAAAAACTGGGATAAGGTGAAATGTACCGAATGTATGCATGGATGCGACCGCACTGGCTGGCTTGTAAACACTGGCGCTGAGGCCACATGTGGGACGCGTCCCAAACAAATCATGCAAGGCGAGTTTTTTATCGTGAGGCGAGGCAAAATTTTTGCGTTCAAATGCTTCGTATGGCGGATTTAACCTAACGCGATGCGTTCGTAAGGCGGGGCTCCACTGTATGTACATACACACCCCTCTGGGTTTTCTTCTATTTTCTTACTAGTTCTTATTCTTCCTCCATAAGCAATAAAGTACAGTGGACCCTAGGCTTACAATATTAATCCGTTCCTGAGAGCTCATCGTTAGACGAAATTATCGTTAGCCGAATTAATTTTCCCCACAAGAAATAATTTATTTATTTATATATTTTATGTCTTTGCAAACAGTACATTGAGATTTTGTATTTATGGAAATCCAATTAATCCATTCCAGACAGCCAAAAGTATTAAAAAAAATATTTTTTTTTGTCATGAAATATACATTTCCCTACAAAGAAAACAATGAGACATGCACAATAACTATATAAATAAATGTTAAAATGACACTTACCCTTATTGAAGAGTACTGATGAGTGATGAGACACTGTTTTTCTTGAACACTCTGGGATTTTCAGAGTGATACATGAGTAAATTCTTCACTTTGCAATCCTCAATAGCATTACAACAAAACAAGAAAGTTAGCCTGTCTTTCATAGGCTTGTGTCCTGGGAATGCCTTTTCCTCCTGAGTAATGTAAGTCCTGTTTGGCATTTTCTTCCAGAACAGGCCTGTTTCGTCACAATTGAACACTTGTTGGGGTTGGAATTTTTCAGCTTCTCCATGCCTTATCACACTGTGTATGCCACTACGATTCTTATATCTCTCAAACCAATCTTTGCTGGCCTTAAATTCACAATATGAGCACTAGTTCCAGGCATTTTTTCCTGTTTGCCTGGGTGTTAGTTGACTGGTGTGGGTTGCATCCTGGGGGACAAGATTAAGGACTCCAATGGAAATAAGTTAGACAATCCTCGATGACTCACTGACTTTCTTGGGTTATCCTGGGTGGCTAACCCTCTGGGATTAATTGTTTCTCAGTAACTGTTTCTCGTTAAGCCACACCAACAACAGTCTCTCCACATCTTCAAGTAGTACAGCTGACGGTGGTGCAGCATCAGCTGACCATGGTACAATAGTATTTCGATAATATTTCTCACCCTTTTTACCATGGGGTTGGCACTAGAAGCTTTCTTTGGGCTCATGGTGGCTTATTTAGCAGTTACAAGCACTATCATAATAATAATAATATAATAATAATAAAAAAGAAGCGCTAAGCCACAAGGGCTATACAGCTACAAGCACTATAAACAATGGAATAATACAAAATGTATCGAATGTATGCATGAAACCAGCCACCCTGGCTTGTAAACAATGACGGTAGGGCAGCTGAGGCTGGACAGAGAGGTTTGGGACGAATCACGCTGGGCGAGTTTTTTATCGTTAGGCGGGCCAAAAATTTTATGCTCAAATGCTTCGTTAGGCGGATTTAATGTTATACAATGCGTTCATTAGCTGAGGGTCCATTGTACTGATTTGTTTTATTGCCTGTGTGTTGATTTTGTTTATGCCACTATGTGACTACTACTGATGCACATACATCACCAGTAAAGTCAGCAGTCTGTTCAATTACTTTGCAGTTGCTAGTGTTTGCACCATCAAACTACAGCATTCATCCTATTCATATGTTGTCCTCCAAAACAATATACTTTACCTAACACTGCACATGCTAAAGGACGAGCATGAGCTGTTTTCTCTGGTATCACTTTGCGATGTCTCATGGGAAGTCTATGTAAGGGCACTGTGAAGACGAGGTTGGCATCATGAAGTAACAGGTTGCAGTACTGGTCCTCTGCTATGCAAGTGATGATCACAAAGCATAATTTGACATTGTTGAGACTTTCTTCTGTTTTTGTGTCTTGCATTACTATTGAGCTAGAAATGTGAATTATAGCAGATTAATATAGAAGCATCTCAGATATTAATACTTTTATCTTAAAAACCCATATCTTGAGTTGTTTAATATTACCTTCTCTTTTCTCATGCTCAAGCTTCTTTTGTAATATCATGTTTTATTTTCATGTTCTGTACACAAACACAATGTCTTACACACAACCTCCTGACCTATTTCCTTATGTCACATTTCATATTATTCATATATCTATATTAAACAATAAGTGTTCTCTTACAAACTAATAAATTTGACCTCAATTGTCTTGTGCAAAGTTTCACTCAGACAGGAATGCATATTTCACAATTTATTATAATACAATGATACACAGTATACCTTACCTGCAAGAACATTTTTCTTACATTTCAATAAAAATTTTTATTACCTTCACTATCCATGCAACATACAACATAGTGGATAATGGCATATAGCTCCTCATTCCTTTTAAGAATATCTCCATTTGCATAAAAATACTAAAGCTAAAAAGGATCAATACAAAAATGCCACTTCATCGTTTTACTATACACTGAGAGGACTTGTCAGGCATATCCCATTTCCTATATCAATATTTCATCCATGTTCATAAAATTCTGCCACTATACATAACACATGACCATTCTCCTAACAGATCTTGTAATATTCCTTCCTGCATACTAATAAGCACATAAACACATGTTTTCTTTAATGTGACTATCATACTTCACCTCACTTGTTTCATCATTCTCTTTTAATATTTGCCTTCATTTACCACTCCAATGACTTCTTCACTTATCTTCTTACAGTAATTCCCACATTATTATTATTTCTAGTCTCTGGCTTTACTAAACATGTTATGTAATTTTAAGTTAGCCTGAACCCTTTAACTATGGGAGACCCTGGAAAAAAATTCATGTGTGTGTGGGAAGATTTTGGAAAAATTGCTTACAGATTGACAGCTTGTTTTTCTGAATCAAATAAGACTAAAATGAGCAAAGTCTGATAAAAACTTAGGATTTTATATTGTGCTGAAGTTGGAGAAAAAATGATCACTAATCAACAACAGCAGTGTTAAAGCGCCAGCGATGTTTACATTTTATAATTTTTTTTTTAACATGTTGGCCCTCTCTCACCGAGGCAGGGTGACCCAAAAAACAAAGAAACACTTTCACTATCATTCACATGTAATCACTGTCTTTGCAAATATCCCAAACCCCTCCTTTGAAGCGCAGGCACTGTACTTCCCACCTCCAGGACTCAAGTCTGACTCACTGATTTCCCTGAATCCCCTCACAAAATATTACCCTGCTCACACTCCAACAGCTCATCAAGTCCCAAAAACCATTCGTCTCCATTCATTCCTATCTAACATGCTCACACAACTGACACTAATATATGATTGTTTTTCTGTTTTTTTATTGTTTTTAATGCTCAACATTATAGTATATACAGCAGGGCCCCACTTATTCGGCAGGTTAGGTTCCAGGTTACTGCCGGAAAGCAGACTTCGCCGGAAAAGCAGAACTCCATTTTTTCCATTTATAAATGCATATAAATGCCAGATAACAAGTTTACACTAACATACTTTAAGTTAACAATAGAACTAGGCATTAAAAACTAAAATACACACACAGTACACTCATTATTTACCTCAAAATATTTGTAGTCTTAATGTAGGGTAAAAGGCGAGTAGCATTTACTCTAAGAAGTCAGGTGTGGTAGCCCTCCTGGCCACCCCACCCACACATACTATACAGTGGACCCCTGGCATACGATATTAATCCGTTCCTGAGAACTCATCATATGCCAAAATTATCGTAAGGCGAATTAATTTTCCCCATAAGAAATAATGGAAATCAAATTAATCCGTGCAAGACACCCAAAAGTTTGAAAAAAAAAAAGTTTTACCACATGAAATATTAAGTTTAATGCACACAAACTGAAGAAGACATGCACAGTTAGTAGTACTCTACTAACAATAGAATACATGACACTTACCTTTAATGAAGATCTGGTGATGATTGATGGGATGGGAGGAGGGGAGAGTGTCGAAGTTGTTATTGTTTAGAAGGGGAATCCCCTTCCATTAGGACTTGAGGTAGCAAATCCTTTTCCGGGGTTACTTCCCTTCTTCTTTTAATGCCACTAGAACCAGCTTGAGAGTCAGTGGACTTCTGTCACACAACATATCTGTCCATAGAGGCCTGTACCTCTCGTTCCTTTATGACCTTGCTAAAGTGGTTCACAACATTGTCATTGTAATAGTCACCAGCACAGCTTGCAATAGCTGTGTGAGGGTGATTTTCATCCATAAAGGTTTGCACCTTTGTCCACATTGTACACATTTCTTTAATCTTTGAAGTAGGCAACTTCTTCAATTTCTTTATCCCCTCCTCTGAAGCAGTTTCCTCAGGTCTGGCCTCTTGCTGTTGAAGATGATCTAGCAGCTCATCAGTGGTTAGTTCTTCACTGTCCTCCTCCACCAACTCTTCCACATCCTCCCCACTAACCTCCAACCCCAAGGACTTCCCCAATCCCACAATGGATTCCTCAACTGGCATAGGCTTCTCATGGTTAGCCTCAAATCCTTCAAAATCCATTTTGTCTACACATTCTGGCCACAGTTTCTTCCAAGCAGAGTTCAAGGTCCTCTTAGTCACTCCCTCCCAAGCCTTACCTATAAGGTTTACACAATTGAGGATATGAAAGTGATCCTTCCAAAACTCTTTTAGAGTCACTCGAGTGTCTGTGATCACTTCAAAGCACTTTTGAAACATAGCTTTTGTGTACAGTGTCTTGAAGTTGGAAATGACCTGCTGGTCCATGGGCTGCAGGAGAGGAGTGGTATTAGGAGGCAAAAACTTGACCTTAATGAAGCTCATGTCCCCACAAAGTCGCTCTGCCAAGTCTGTAGGATGACCAGGGGCATTGTCTAATACCAGGAGGCACTTAAGGTCTAATTTCTTTTCAATTAGATAATTTTTCACATTGGGGGCAAATGCATGGTGTAACCAGTCATAGAAAAAGTCCCTAGTGACCCATGCCTTACTGTTTGCCCTCCACAGCAAACACAAATTAGCCTTGATGACATTGTTTTGCCAGAACGCTCGGGGAGTTTCTGAGTGATACACCAATAAAGGCTTCACTTTGCAATCACCACTAGCATTGGCACACATCAGAAGAGTAAGCCTGTCTTTCATAGGCTTATGTCCTGGGAGTGCCTTTTCCTCCTGAGTAATGTAGGTCCTGCTTGGCAATTTCTTCCAAAACAGGCTTAAATTCAGGTTTAAATTCTTCACTGTCTATGTAATCCTTGAATTCCTTCACATATTTTTCAGCTGCTTTTTAGTCCGAACTGGCAGCCTCACCATGCCTAATCACTCTATGTATGCCACTACGATTCTTAACCCTTTCAGGGTCGACAGGCCCTCTCAGAGACTTGTTCTCAGGGTTACCCAAATTTCAAAAAAAAAAAAAAAAAAAAAAAAAAAAAAAAAAAAAAAAAAAATTCTTGTGAAAAGACAGAGAATCTTTTCCCAATCATAATGAACCAAAAGTATGAAATTTGATGGAAAATTTACGGAATTATGCTCTCGCGAAGTTAGCGGTCTCGACGATGTTTACGCATTGGCGATTTCGCCCACTTTGAGCCCTATTTTCGGCCAATTCCACTGTAATAGTCGACAAAAATCATGACTATTTCACTAGAACTCCTTTTTTTCTATCGAATGAGTGAAAGAAACCACCCATATACCAATTTCAACTATCCAATACAGTGGTCAGAATTCTTCCATTCTATAGAATGAGACCAGGAAAACTAGAATACAACAATACCATACGAAAATACAGTGCAAAGTCGATGTTTTAACCCTTTCAGGGTCCGTCCCGTAGATCTACGGCTTTACGGTGAGTGTCCAAACCGTAGATCTACGCCATGAGCTCAGCTCACTCTGATAAACTGTGAGTGGTACATTTGGGCCTAGATATGAGAGAATACATCTATGTGGTATGTGTGCACCACATAAAACAGATCTTGCAGCACACTGTGTATAATGAGAGAAAAAAACTGAAATCATGATTTTTCGATTAAAACAGCGACTTTGCAGTGTTTTTCATATGTTTTTTATAGTTGTATTTGCGATTTCTTGGTCTCATTTGATAGAATGGAAGACATATTACAGAAATAGAGATGATTTTGATTGGTTTTAGCACTGGAAACGGCTTAAAACTGAGCTCAAAGTAGCGGAAATGTTAATTTTTTGCCGATATTCAAGAGTAAACAAACGACCTCACACATCTAATACACGTCAGCTGGTGGGTCTAATATACATTCACAAATATGGTGATGATATTTATACAATTATTACAGTATTGCATAACAGTAAATCTTCTATTTTTTGGTGTGAATAAAAATTCATTATGTGAATAAAAAATCAAAATGGAATTTATTTGTAAAGCCTCAAAATGTAACTAATGAACAGAGGAAATGTTAGTTTAGTTCCAGGAATACCTACATTGTTTATTCTGGAGCCTATTTTGAAATTGGAATATTTTGAACTTTGTGTTAAATTGGCCAAATTAACAATTTCCGATCACTTTATTTTGTAGTTGAAACAGTTGATTTGGCGATTTCTTGTGCTCAATCGATAGAATAGAAGTAATACTAGTGAAATAGCTAAGAATTTGGTTGATTGGAATAATGTAATTGGCCTAAAATGGGAGTCAAAGTCGGCAAAATCGCCGACTCGTAAATATCGCTGACACATCAAAATTCGCGAGAGCATAATTTCGTCAATTTTCCACCAAATTTCGTACTTTTTGTTTAATTACCTTCACAAAAAGATTCTCTACGATTTCATAAGAAAAAATAATTTTTTTTTTTGAAAATTCTTGGACACTGGTGTGTGACTTCAGATTTTGGCCTTGGACCCTGAAAGGGTTAATCCAAAAACACGGCCAGTTTTTTTTTTTCTCATTACGCACTGTGTACTGCAGGATTTTTTATACT